TGCTAGAGGGTGGCATGCCTAGAGGGGCCCCTGCCAAATACGTGGCCCTGTGCATGGCTTCCACTTGGCTGTTCTTGAGCTCTGTTCTTTAGAATAAACTGGTGATAGTCAGTGATGTGTCTTCCTGCGTTCTGTGAACCATTCTAGGAAATTATCAGATCTGTAGAGGGGATCATTGGAGGCTTTGATTCATAGACAGCCAGTTAGAAGAATGGGAGTCCAGACTTGCGATTGGCATCTGAAGGTGGGGCAGTCTTGTGGGACTGAGTTCTTAACCTGTGGAGTCTGTGCTAACTCCAGGTAGTGTCAGAATTTAGTTGAATTGTTGGCTACTCAGATAGTATCCAGAGAGTTGGGGAATTGGTTGGCATGGAGGAAAAAATCCCACACCGTTGGTGTGAGAAGTGTTTTGTGAGTAAAAACAGCTCATAGTAGTAAGAATGACTGACCAACCAACTAACCTCATGGCTAGTTCTGAGTGAAATAGTGTGGACATATAACTTATAATCTAGACCCCAACACTTTTGAGAGTTGAAGAAGATTCCTTTGATAATTATGGTGGGATAGCAGGCATAAACTTGTGTCAGGCAAACCGAGATAGATGTTCACCCAAAGACTTAAATGGGCTGAATGCCTGTGTCACTCTTAGCACAGTGCTCACCACCCAGAGCAAATGCTCAGTAACTGTTAGCGCCTACAGACATATCACCCTGAATGTGCCCAGTCTTGTCTGATCCCAGAATCTGAGAGGGTGGGGTCTGGGAAATGAGGGTGCTGTAGGCTTTAAAATATATAAATAAATAAACAAAAAACTGAGTGCTTGTAGTCCCAGCTACCTGTGAGGCTAAGGCAGTAGGATCACTTGAGCCCAGGAGTTCAAGTACAGCCTTGGCAGCATAATAAGAGCTCCTCTCAAAAAAAAAAAAAAGGAACTGTTAACAGGTTGCCATTATCATTACTGACTTTAATAATTGTATATTTTTGACAATATTTAGTATGAGAATTTTTCAGGCTCATTTTTTTTCTCCTAACAAAAGAATCACTAAGCAAAGGCCAGATGTAAGCTAATTCCCATTGCTGAAAGAGCTAATATGGCTCCCAAAGATGTTTAATAAGAAAATAATTTTTTATTCTATAAGAAAGACCTAACTAATGTTTTTTGAATACTTTACTAATTAGTAGTGTACTTGTGGAAAACTGGGCTTATCTAACCTTGCCCAGAAAATTAATGGCGACCTGGGGAATCTGCAACATGCCACGAACCACCTCCACAGCAAGGTAGAAACCTTGGCTAAAGTTGTCCTTCAGAATTGTAAAGGCCGACATTTACTTTTCCTATCCCCAGGGGGACTCTGTGTAATCCTTAAAAAATCTTGTTGTTTTTATGCCAACAAATCAGGGGTTATTAAAAGTACCCTCCAAAAGGTCTGAGAAAATTTAAACAAATGACAAAAAAGCAAAAGCACAACAACAAAAATAATAAATCCTGGCTCCAGGCTTTATTTAATTGAAGCCCATGTTCCTAGTCTAGTTAAACCCCTCATACTTCTTCTCCTCGGTCTTCCTATCAGACTCTGCATATTAAACAATGAATCAGTTCTGTGAAACCTATGTATGTAAAACCCCGTTGTAATAATATACTTACAACAGATGAGTCAATGCATTGACTCATAAACAGCTAAATGGGGGGAATAAAATATCTTTCTGCAAAACCTATAATAGCCTGCTAAAATAGCTTGCTTGACATGAGTAAGTAACTCCATTTTGTAATAAATCTTCCATGTTAGCCTAGAAATAGCCTTCTTATGTAACCTTCTCATAATCATACTGCACATCCACATTCCTGTGCCCCTCAGTGATTGGAAATTCCCAGGTTGTGTAAATTCTGTACCCCTTGCTACCCCTTACTAATCATATTGTTTGCCAAGAAATATCAAACTGTACACCTTATATAATGTTTACCTTTAAAAAACCCACTACTCACTCTGTTCGCTGCCGAGTGTTATTTGGGACACTAGTCAGCTCTCGGTCGCTGGTGTCAATAAAGGACTCATAATCCAACCTTCCCTGCATGTAGGCATTGTTTCTTGCAGTCCAGCTATAACAATCTAATGTACTCTTGCATATCAAATTAACCAAAACAATGCTAACAGAGGAGCTGCATGTTAGAATACCCTCAATATCACTGTGCTGATTTTATGAATTAAAAAATGAGACTAAGAAAATGAAAATATAAATTACAAGAAAAAGCTGACCTACAACCAAGCTTCTGGGTTTGTGTTTTTCCAATTTAAATAAGAAAAATCAGGCTTTAAATGTTGTCAAATAAATGAAGAAAGGTAGGTATAATACCAAAGACAGAAGAATAACAAAGAATTAGTAGTAACTAAAACTCCCATTTCTATGTATTCATTGATTGAGACTTTCTGAAATCCTCTTTTATTTTTTATCTTAGTAAGGTATGACCCCGAAGTTAATTATAGAAAAAGTTTACTTTTCTTTTATCTACCTCCCTCCCTCCCTCCCTCGCTCCCTCCCTCCCTCCTTTTCTTTCTTTCTTTCTTTCTTTCTTTCTTTTGTTTTTTTTTTGAATTGGCATTGCACTCTGTCACCCAGGCTGGAGTGCAGTGGCACACTCACAGCCACCCCAGCATCAACCTGCTGGGCTCTGGCGATCCTTCTGCCTCAGCCTTCCAAGTAACCAGAACTATAGGCATGCACTACCACACCCGGCTAATTTTTGACTTATTGTAGAGACAAGGTCTCGCCAAGTTGCCTGAGCTGATCTCAAATCTGCAGCCTCAGGCAATCCACTCGCCCCCGGCCTCCCAAAGTGCTAGGATTATAGGCTGAGCCACCGAGCCCAGCCAAAAAGTTTACTTTTCAAATAAAAGTATGCTGATGTTGATATGCAATAGACCTTCTGGTATATTGGGGTTTGGGCATTTCCTCTGCTTGGTGGTGGCTGTACTTTGCTTTGGAAAGTGAGATTCTCTGCAAATACAAGTGATGACAATGGCACCATTCCCTCAATGTTATAGCACTCAGGTCAGGCTCTCATATAAAGATAGCTTTAGGGGCCGGGCTTGGTGGCTCAACCTATAATCCCAGCACTTTGGGCAGCCGAGGCAAGTGGATTGCCTGAGCCCACAGGTTCGAGACCAGCTTGTGGAACTTGGTGAGACTTCGTCTCTACAATAAATCAAAAATTAGTCAGGCATGGGTTCCAGCGACTTGGAAGGCAGAGGCAGAAGGATCATCGATGCTCAGCAGGTCGACACTTGAGTGGCCGTGAGTGTGTCACTGTACTCCAGCCTGGGCAACAGTGAGATTCCAACTAAAAAAAAAAAAAAAAAAGACCTTTAGGATGCCACAAAGAGTATTGTTTCCAGTTTGCTGAAATCAAGCAATTCTCCAGAAAAGGTGATCCTAATTTTTGTGGGGTTCTCTGGCAGCCCACACAGCCTTGACTCTCCTCCTGGCTTGAAAAGGTAAATGGTCGCGGCATGCCTTTGTCCTAGCTGAGGAAGGCCTGGCCTCCCTTCTGCCCCTCAGACGGGCACCTCCCTTAGGAGGAGGTGTTCTTGTGAGGAATTCAGTTCTGCAATCTGGATTTTTGTTATTGCTGTAAAAATAATTTGGAGCCCAAATTATTTGCTCTCCACGCTCCCTGCACTGTCCTCTCCTGTCCTTGGAACCCCCACGTCCCCTGCTCTGTCCTCTCTCGCCCCTGGACCCCTCACGTCCCCTGCTCTGTCCTCTTCTGCCCCTGGACTCTCCACCCTGCCCAGGACCCCTGTGTCCCCTGCTGTGTCTTCTCTCGGCCCTGGATTCCCCACATCCCCTGCTCTGTCCCCTCCTGCCCTGGGACCCCCCACCCTGCCCAGGACCCCCTGTGTCCCCTGCTCTGTCCTCTCCTGCCCAGAACCTCCCACATCCCTGCTCTGTCCCCTCCTGCCCATGGACCCCATTTCTGGGCTTCATGCCGGCTCTGCAAAAAGTGGCCCAGGAGTCAAGGTGAAGGGAGGAGCGGGCAGCGGAGGGGCTGTTGGGGGATGGACAGCCTGCCCCTGGCTCCGGTTGTCCTTGGTCGTGGCAGTGGTAGCTGTGGCAGAGCCTTAGACGCACCCTGCTGTCTGGGGTGGTCAGGTAAAGGCCAGCAGGCCCTGGGGCAGCGCCGTGGCCCCCCCAGCACCACCACCAGGGACTCGGAGTCAGACACGTGCCCCCTCACACTCCCTCCCAGGAGGCGAAGTGGGCCCAGTTCACTGACGTGGGAGGGCCTCCAAGTAGGTTTTCCTGTAGAATCACAGCTCCACAGAATGTGTCTGTGGAGGTCTGTACTTAAGGCCCACTGTGATCAACTAGGCCATGGCCACCGTATATGAAATTGCTGGTGGAAATATGTTTTAACTTTCGAGCAACAGATTTGCAGATGCAGTTATTGAGTATTAGGTACCAGGCACTGTGCTCATCATTGTATGAGTTACTGCATTTGACCCTTCCAACAACACTTTGAAGGAAGTAGACCCATTTTATTGTTGAATAAACTGAGGTTTAGAGATTAAATAACTTTCCCAAAGCCATACAGTGGGTCGGTGGTGATTCTGGCGCGCAAACCCAGGTCTGATTCCATACTTGATACTGTTATGATATGCCAACATAACACTTTCTCAAGTGAGGGACTGGATACACACGGCATTTTTAATCACTTTCTTTTTCTTCCATCACTATGTATTTGCTTATCCTTTTTGAAAGCAATTTTTTTTTCTGAGCATTTTTCTCATTTCTTAAGGTGAGTTGAAGCGGAAGCCTATCACATTATTTTGCAAATGAATACTTGGTAAATATTCCCTGATGCCATAAATATTAACTGCTGCTACGACGCTGATGAGAAGAAGTTTCACAAATTGGATTAGGAATTGCAGTTTGAACTTTCTTAATCTTCTTTATTCAGTAATCCACTTCTATTTAAAATTTTGTTTATTTCTTGCTGAAAGGAAGAAGATTTCTCTCCCCACGCCGGCTATAGTCTGCCTCTGGCTTCGGCACCTTCCCAGCCTGGAAAAAGCAACGCTGCATCTTTTTGAAAAGCTAATCTTCAGTGAGAGAAATTGTCTGAGAAGGATCGAATGCTTTATAAAAGATTCATCGCTGGTACGTGCTGGGCCTTTGATGAAGAGAAAACCCCTCACAGGAGATGCTGGGAAGCATTTCTTTTAGCCGAAGAATGAGGGCAAGGGGAGGATATAAACAGAAGAGCAATTGAAACCTTTAAAAATAATTGTGTATTTACGTTTTATTTCAAAAATACCTAACAGGGGGCTTTTCTGCATACTTGCAGCATGTGGGGTGAGATTTGAGGTTCCCTGACTGATGGACCGTATACTGTGTATTCACAAGAACTGGCATTTGGACAACAAACTCTAAAAACAATGTTTTTCTTATTTCAACATAAAAAGTAACTTTTTAGAAATGAAAGCTTTTGGATGAGAAGAATTGATGAACAAACATAAACATGCAAAAAATAAACCTTTAGCTCTTCACTAGAGGAAAAATAAAATTCTCAAGAGAAACAAAACAGAACTCCAGGAAAATGGGTAAAGCAACAAAAACAAGTAGGACTTCTCTAATTTTTCTTTTAGTGTGAGGCTGCCTGCCTTGACACCCCCGTGTGGCGGCTTCTGACTCCTTTTGCCCTCAGGACTGTGCGGTCAAGACTAGGGGCCGTGTGTGTCAGGCTCGGCTCGCAGGCGGTCCTGGGAGTCTTGCCAGCCGGGTGTCTTCCTTCTTTGGGAGGCAGCTCTGTGGAGTTTGTGTACATTTTTGAAAGAACAGGAATAAGGCACCAGTGCACCCTGGAAAACCGTCCAAAGAACTACTGGTGTCATGGTCATGTGGCACCTGCCTGCCCTGGTGGACTCTGCCACATTTTCTCCTTAGCCTTCCTAATCTGTGAGGCCTTGGCACAGGCACTGTCTTCCTGTTGTGCAGGAGACAGTGAGTTCCGAGAACCACGACGAACTCCTGGCCCTAAGTCAGTGGGCAGAGTGCTGGGAAGGAGGGATGTTGGCCCTTGCCCTGGAACTGAGACTGAGGGAGACTCTGGGCTTTGCTGCGCCCACTCTGAGTCCCGTGCGCATGGCTCCCACCTCCCAGACACCTTCGGTTTGTCTGATTCCTTGGAACTTCCTGTGTGTTTCCTCCTCTTTCAAGTTGGAGGCCATGCAAGGGAATCCTGATGGCATCAGCTGTCCTCTTCCTCCATCCTGTGTCTCTCCACCAGGCCCATGTCCACCCTCCCTGTGTTCCAGGGCTCTGCCCGCCATCATCCCAGGTGAGCGTGGGTAGTGCTGCTGGCGCCGATGGCCATGCTGCATCCCAGTGCTTTAGGCACAGACTGAACCCAAGCGACGTGAAAGTTGACGATGGAGACAGGTAGAGCCCAGAGAGGATATTTGTTAAGATAAGGACTACCTGACTTCGGTGTTCAAAAAAGTTGTATATTAAGGCCAGAAATAGAAATACACCTTAATTAAAAGTAAATGATATATCCTTTAAAATAGAGCGCTGCAGAAGCCCTCTGGCAACCCATTGCAAGTACTGAGAAATAGTGAGTGGCCTGTATTTCTAACTTCAGTGTGCATGCTACAATTTCATTTTCTCTGGTCCTTTTTCGGTGGCAAAACACAGGACCTGAGCTGCTTGCTTGCTCGTTCCCAGGGTGCTTATGAAATTTTCATGAAGGCTTTTTTCTCTTGAAAAATTCCAGTCCTGTCGCCCTTCCTGCACCCTGTCCTTGACCCTTGTGGTTCCTCTCTAGAGTGTCCCGTGTCCTTTCTGCCGGTGGCCCCATAGTGAGCACAGTGAATGACGGTGGGAAACTCACCCTGGACAGTGCTGTCTCCAGTTTAAACTTACAGTGGTCTCCCCAAACAGCTTCAAAGTCAGTCGACTTACAAAAGCTTTTATCAGGATCATGTGTGCCTCAGAGTTTCCATGATGGCAAAAGGAGGGTTCTAGAAGGTGTTATTTGGTTTAATTTATTGTGGCATAGGCAAGATGTGACCTCTCGCTGCCTTGTGGTTCGGGGAGGTGACTGCAATGCAGACGATGAGCTGGAAGGCCCTGACTGGCCAGGACTAAGGGGCCAGAAAGCCAAGTGGCTGGAGTAGCCTGGGATGTAGCTAAGTGATTGCAGGGGAAACCTGAAGAGCCTGCTTCCTAATTGCATCATCTGATTCATTTATCACTGTGCAGTATCTCGTGCAGTGACAGGACTGTCAAGGAGTATCAGAGCGATCACAAGACGGCTGTGCCATGCTCCAGCAGAAACCCGATGCCTATTACATTAGAGTTGGACTCTGAGGGTAATTAAAGTGTGATGGTCTACATAACTTGTGTTGTATGTGGAGCACTGTTAATTATATTTCCATCTCTTGGGACTATCCAGAATGAGTCCTGGAAATTCTGTAGTTTCCAAAATGTAGCAAAAACAAAAGATAAAATTGTGGGACAGGTTGTACAAAGTGGCATGACCTCACCAAATGTTCTTTGGCCTCTCAGGGACTCACAGGCCCGGTATTTTCCATGTAGACTGTGAATAATAAGGGACTGGTGGGATATCACCTGAATCCTGAATGTCTATATACGTATTTGGCATCTAAAATAAAAATATGTTTCCAAGACCCGTCTGCTTTTGAGGCTGACCCCTTGGCTTCCCTGGGCTGGGCTGTCCTCAAGTGTATGCCGCCTGCCACAGTTGGTGGCACCTCAGTCAGTCGTGGTATTAACCCTAGATTGTCATTCGCCATGCTTTTCAAAAGCAGATGGTCTTGTGTTTCCCTGACAGCAGAGGCCCTAAAGACCATAATCCATAGCTTCAGATCCGACCTCAAAAGCTGATGTCACCAAAAGCTGCAAAAGCCACTTGCTAATTATGCAGCCTTCTTGGCACCACTCAGTTTCCCAAGGCTGGTCCTGAATCAGAAGGATGTTATATTTTCCAGTGACAATTCTGTTTGTAAGGCCCAGAAAACTATTATTTGGATTCCATATTTGAATAAGAAGTGCTGGCGGGATGGCAGGGTGGCACTGTGCTTGGCTGCCAAGCTGCATGCCAGGGCTGGTAGGTACCCCAGTTCCCATTCCCTCCACCAGCTAACCCCTCCTGCCGCTGGGTCCAGAGGAGCTGCCCTCTCACCTTCCCGGCAGATTTGCCCCCAGAGAAAAGGAGCCAGGGAGATGCCAAGGGGGCAGGGTTGTTTTTCTGTTCACTGAGATTTTCAGTCAGAACGCCTTGTTTCCTCTCCTGCCTGGAAGTCTTCATAGCTCAATTAAAACCATTTCTTTATCTAATAAGAGCTTAGGAACAAAAAGCATCCAGATACCTCAGTGTCCTCGATGTGGGATAGGATGCCTTCCTTTCCTCTTTTTCCAAATAGCAATTGTAGCCACTTCAGAAAGAAAAAGAAACTTACTTTACGCATAATTCCAATGCACAGTTCCACTTTAGTAAAATATTATACTGAAGCATTAACTCCAGGATGAGCCTGGATGATGTCTTCAGATGTCTGCCTTGAGTAGCTTTTTCACTGTTGTTCCAGGGTTTTCTTTCCCTGCTTTGTCGTTAGCAGTGTTTTTGGCATTCCTTTTGGAACTCTTTAATGTGGTGCATGTGACTTCTCAAGAGCCAAAGTCCACAATTTAGCAGTGGTCGAGTGTGGTGACTGATGTCTGCCTAAAAGCTGCAGTCTGCATCCTGGACAGCAGCTGCGCTTTCCAGCCTCGGCCTCAGGGGGGCACCAGATCCCCCAGCATCTTCTCCAAGAGGCCCACGTGGCCAGTTCTGTTGTCATTGTTGGAGATGCAGGACCTTGTGACCAGAGATGAAGGGGAAAAGCCCAAACCAGAAACAGAGCAGGCGTGGACCTGAGAAGTCTTCGCCACTCAGAGGCCAAGCTGAGAAGCAGCAGGGGAGTGATGCGCTTTCTTCCTGCTCGGCACCACAGACTAACTGGAGAGAATCCACTGGGCGAGGCCAGGAGAGGGAGAGGGACGTGAGACGTGGGGCTTTTGTTCCACATTCGGAGCTGAGCGTCTCTGTGCCTTCCCTACGTCTGAGCACGCAGAGAGCACATGTAAACTTAAAACGCAAAAGTACATTTGGTACTTGTTAAATCCTTAAGTCTAGGAATGACAGATTTATCACTAATTAAGCAATAATTGCATTATGGAGCACTGAAAAAATTGCTTGTGTATAAACAGCATCTGGTAAAAATTAAAAAGAAAGAATAGTTTTTCCAAGCTCAAATTTGTTGAAAGAAACTTGAATGTTTCAAAACAAAATAGATCCCAGAATGTAAGAAGGATATTTAGAGTCTTATGCTTAGTATTTTGAAAGTAGAAAGGAAGAAAATGTCATAATAAAAAAATACATATTTATAAAGGTGCCTCATTTTACATGATAGATTGAAGGTTTTATTTAAGAAGATTTTTTTCAGACCACATTACTTTTGAACTCAGTAAAGAAGTTTACTGTGGAATCTTACGAAGAATCCTCTTTTTAAGAAGAAAGTTATTTTTTGGTGACTTCAGTCACATATCCATATCTGTACATGAACAGCAAGGACTTCCCGCCCGTCAGGAGAACAGCGCTCCGAGGAGTCAGCAGCACAGTAGGACTGTCGGGCTGGGGGGTGAATTAGAGCGAAAGCGTCTCAGCCGATTTCCTCAAATACCCATTTCCTGAGTGAAGTCTTTAAACTACATTAAAGAAGACTATAATGCACGAGAATCTATTCCAGGCTTAATGAACTTGAGTTACTTCTCTCTCGCCTGCTGTTTCCTCCCTCAGTTTTAAGGAGATCGTATCTATGAAGGCCGGTCGATTAAGGGGCTCAAGAATTGTCTCTGCTCCTTCGTTGCCTTTTTCCCAAGAGGCGTTCAGTCTTGTCTGCGCTTTACCTCACATCATCGTCTAACTTCCTTTCTGGTTTGCTTTCTCTCCTCCTGCCTTGCCTATACACATCCTCTCTCTCACACACACAGAATCAGAAAGTCGTAGGAAAAAAAGTTCTTCCTGAGAATTCTGCCCTTCTCTGTCCTCAGGCCTCTTTCAAGCGGCAAGTGACTTGCCACAGTCATCGATGAGTTGGAATGAAAACCACAGCTTAAGCAGACATCCAGGGCAGATTTTGAGGTCCGTGTTTGCCCAGTTCATGATGCAGATGGCTTGCCGGCCACCCTCTGGCCTCCTCCCAGCCCAGTAGAGGACGTTGTATTGTGCGTTTTCTGCGCATTGACTCTGTCTTCCCTTGGCTTATTGAGGGGTGAGAATAGGGTCTTCTTCTAGGCAGGGAGGACATGAACGATGCAGCTGTGGGGGTGGATTGGAGGGAAAGCCTTCGTCAGCCAAAGGGGGTGCTTGCCCCACATAGAGAAGGACGGCAGAGCCCAAGCTCTCCATCATCGTCTTCTGTCTGTCCTCCGACATTTAGTGAAAGGACTGGGGGAGGGAGGGAGGGCAAGCCTGACATGGTTGATGCCTCCTGCTGACAGTGTCCCTAGATTTGAAGTGATCTGTACATGAAGATCATTAGGCCAGATGGAGGAGAGAAGAGCTTGAGAAGGAACAGATTTTGGAAGGTTGGAGAAAAACAGACACACAGATGGAACCCAAGAAAGGTTTTCTTTTCTTTCCTTGTTTTGATAGGAAAGAGAATTGCCCAGATTGTGGGGCTCCAGAGCCCTGGCTTGCAGAATGACCTCTGGTGTATTACTGGAGTATCCCACAGGATTCACAGGGGCTAGACGTTTGTCCCACTCACTCACAGGATGATCTGGAGACTTGGTGGGGGGTAGGGGGGGAGGGACTGTCTTCCAAAGGAGTATCAAAGCCAGGATTCTGTTTGGAGACTCTTGACGAGAAAAGCAGCTTAGGCTTGCTTTTGTGATGTGATGTTACGGGGACACGTGTGTGGCCCACGAGCACATCAGTCCTCCTGAGGAGACTCGCCCTGAAATGACGTGCTTGGGAAGTGGAGAGAGCCGCACCTGAAAAGGCGTCGGTAACGGGCACAGGCGAGAGAGCTGCTCACAGCTCTGGGTGGCAAGGGAGACTGGTGTTAAAATCAGGCTCTGCCACTGCCGCTTAGCAGGGCTCCTCTGTCTCCTGGGCCTTCTCTGCTAAGAGCTAAGACGGGGTGGAAGCAGGCCGAGAGTAGCCAAGGGTCTGAAGTATTTGGAAAGAGAGAAATCTGAGAGGAGAGTCCATCTGCAGGGAAAGAAAGGCAGATTTCACACCGCCTGGAGATGCTTGAAACATTTGATTGGGCTGCTTTGCTAGCAAACGTTGCATGAAAGAAAAACGTATCCAGGCTCTCATTCTCTGGACAAAGCTCGAGCTTTCTTGCTTACTCCCCACATGGTTTTCATGGTAGTTCTAATCTACACGTTAGATCATCATTTTCTTTGCTTGGAAATTCCTATAATTAGTAATGAGTGGTTTTCTACGAGCAGCAGACCTATGGGATAGTTGACTATGTAAAATAAAAGTGAATTCTGTTTTACCATTTTCAAGTTTGATTTGATTTGCTATCCATGTGTTTCAGACTCTGTGTCTGCCTGTGGGTACACACAGTGCTTTTTGGTCTCAAGCCCTCATATTCAAGAGGCATATTATCCTTGTAAAACTTCGAGAAATTGTTCTGGCAAATTTAGATGAATTATATTTCTTCGGGACATGCAGTTTGCTTTTCCCTTGCTTTATTTTTTTTTTCATTATGAGTACATAGAAACTTTTATGGTATTTTCTGGGCTTATATTCAGTGACCTGTTAATAGCTGTTATTATTTACAGTGAGGCTGAGAAGCAGGGAGGTTGACTGACTTGCCGGAGAACAAGGCCCGGAAGTAACTGGCCTCTCCTCTGATGAACCATGGTCCTGCCGAATTACTTTCTTCAGGAGACACTGAGTTTATCTATGAGAATTTCAAGCTGGTTTCTTTTAGGTACTTGTGTATGGCAGTGAAGGATGGGGGAGCATGAATTACTTTGGGAGTAGAAGATTTTTAGCTTGCAAATAACAAATCGCCTTCAAATAATGGAAAGGCAGTCGTCCTGTCATTTAAACAAGTGGCGACACTTGGGAGACCCTCCTGTGGCAGGCTGCAGTGGTGGCATGTGAACGCTAGGTGGCACAGGCTCAGTGTGGGGACCCAAGGCCCTCAGGAGCTGGGGGTGGGGAGTGGGTAGAGCAGGGGGCTCCCTGGGAAGGCATCCTGCTGCCTCCAGCGTGGTCCCAGGTCCGGCACAGCCTTTTTTCTTGCAGAGGGGTCTCTGAAAACTCTTTCCCAAGCCAAGCCATGCCAAATGCAGTGTGGCCCAAAGAAATTCCCTGTGCAGATCAATTCACTGACATTTGGGTGTGACTTTGAAACATCTATTTTGGAAGACCAACGGGCACTTTCCTCTGGCATCATCTCATGCTCTGAACTCTAGCTGAGAAGACACAGAGCCTGGGACAGCCCCCGCCACCCCGCCACTCTCCATCGACCACAGGAGGCCAGCTTCTGTACATTCAAGTCATTAAAACCCATTTCAGAAATAAGGAAAAATTAGATGCCTTTCTTTATTCTTCTTTCTTCACGACCCCTCTTTTCATCCTCGGTAACTGGAGCTGCACTAAGGTGAGAGCCATGTGATCTAGTCCCGCATGGCAGTGGTCACTGGTTTCCTTAATAATAATTCTAAATTATCCTGTACTTGTTACCTAATAAGCAGGAATAAAAAGACTGCAGGCGCAGGCCTGACCTTGAGGCCCGTCTGGCTACTTGAGGAGGTCAGACACAGACTCACTTAAGTGAAACTGGCAACACAGGCAGGTTGTGTCTTTACTACAGCGTGCCAGTGGAAAGTATTTCTTAATTTTCCATGATTCCTTTTTGTGGATCATATGGACTTATTATAGAAAACGTGGGACATAACAGGAATATAAAGAGGAAATAAAGCTTACCCTTAATCCCCTGCTCAAAGAGAACCACTGTTTGGACTTGTATGTGGGGCTTTTTCAGTACGCTGATGGGCGATTCTTTTTTTCCAACCCAAAGGAAGATGCCCATTTTTCAGAAATCAGCAGTTCTGGACAAGTCCTTCACCTGACAGCAGCAAGCTCTCACAATCTGTTCCTTCCACAGCCTCAAGCAGCCTGCCATCCTGCCATATTCCGGATTGTTGACGAGATGTTCAGGTAAATGTCTTGCTTTTGCTACTAGTCATTTATCTAAAAATGCTCCATTTCCAAACATGAATAAAAAATTTTGCAGTAGTCTCTGGCCATTCTATGGGGAAATTAGAGTTTCCAATTCCTTCTTAATCCTCTGAGCTTTTTGGTAATTAGAGGTAAAATCTCCAAAGTCAGTGTATATTTAAAGGCCAGTGCCTAAGACTTAAGATAACTTTCTTTTCTTTAACCTTTTAAAATGCTAATGATAGTGATACAAAAGCAGAATTGAGTTAGATATTAATGTCATGAAATATTCATGTAAGATTTTTCTCCACTCAGAATAAAGGGTAGCAGTGTGCTCCCTTCACCACATGAGGGCTGACCAGTCTTTTTAAAAGACTTTAAAGCCGCAGAAAGCCAACAAAATAAATAAATAAATAGAGCCATTCTTAACAGAGCTCTTCTGAAAGGTAAAATATACCCGGCATGTTTTCTTGCAATACATTGAGTTTTCATTTAGAAAATGTGAATACTTATTATATTCTTACAGATGACAAGAGATGAGGAGCTCACTGGACACAAAGCTGGGCTGTAGCTTGGCACCTAAGAGTGTTTCTTTTTCTTTTCTTTTTTTGTGTTGGAGTCTTGCTCTGTCACTCAGACTGGAGGGCAGTGGCCGCTCCCGGCCACCGCAGCCTCGACCTGCTGGGCTCCGGCGATCCTTCTGCCTCAGCCTTCCGAGTAGCTAGAACTACAGGATAATTTTTTGATTTATTGTAGAGATGAAGTCTCGCCAAGTTGGCCAGGCAGGTCTCGAACCTGTGGGCTCAGGCAATCCACTCACCTTGGCCACCCAAAGCTCTGGGATTACAGGCTGAGCCACCGAGCCCAGCCCTAAGAGTGTTTCTAGCTTTTTTCGTGGTTGCTGCAACAGGTCTCTCTCGGCTCTCTCCAGCCCTACAATAACAACCCACTGCTAGGGTTGATCTTCTATTTTTTAACTTTTTAGAGACAGGGTCTCACTCTGTGGCCCAGGCTGGAGTGCAGTGGCATGTTCTTAGGGGCGGGAAACCAAAAAAACCCCAGAATTTATTTATAAAAACTATGTACCTATTCTTACATGTTTCAACTTTAGCCACCTTCAGAGTACTCTCCATCTTATGCAGTATGCCTACTGAGACTGCTCAAAACAGTTTTCGGACTTGTCAGTCTGGATGCCTTTGAGTGCTTCTGCTGTTTTTTGTTTCTCCTCTTCCACATCAGCCAAACATTCCCCTCTGAGGACTGTTTTCATCTAGGGAAACAAAACAAAGTAGCTGGGGATAAGAAAAGGCAAATATGGAAGGCGGGGCATGGGGTCGTGCCGCTTCTCGTCGAAACTGCTGCACACGTGGCGTGGTGTGAGCAGGTGTGCTTCTAAGTCCCTGATCATGAAATGGGCACGTGTATTAAAGCATCTCCAAAAAAATCCACTGAAGCTGAATGCAGCCTCTTGCAACAGCACTGATGCTGATGGGAGCCCAGAACACTGACCTAGTGGGGAAGCCTGCGCTACCGGGGCCCGCCCTCCCAAAGATCATTTGTGGTGTTTCGGGCGGGTCCCTCCTCATAGCTCACTGTCACTTCGAACTCTTGGGCTCAAGCAATCCTCCCATTTCAGCCTCTCAAGTAGCTGGGATTACGGGCGTACCACCATACCTGGCTAATTTTTAAAATTTTTTTGTAGAGACAGAGTCTTGCTATGTTGCCAGGCTGGTCTCAAACTCCTAGCCTCAGGCAGTCCTCCTGCCTCAGCCTCCCAGAGTGCTTGGGGTTATAGGCATAAGCCTCCACACTCAGGCAGTGCTGAGACATACCAACTTTAAGCTGAGTGAAAGAAATAAGAAATCAGAACACTTTTTAGTCTAAAGCTAGCAAAGTTTGAGTTTATTTATTTATTTTTGGCTTAAACATAAGAAAAAGTGAATTGTCTTTTGAGCAGCTTTGTCTCTGCCTGTGAGTGTGACTGCTGATGTCATGTGTCCAGGGCTACACCACGAAGATATTTGCATAGAGTACACAAGCTGATGTAGCAGGGGTTTGCAGTGCTCAATAATTTACGAACCAAGAAAGAGAGCTCTGTGCTCTACAATTTTACAGAGAGTATTTAGAAAAGGGAGCACAGATTTCTCCTGCTTTCACGAGACCTGAAATCTGATGAGCTGAGCTACTGCTGTAGCTTACAGCACAAAAAGAGGGTTTCCACCCTTTCCTTGTCAGCCCAGGCTCGTGTGTTCACCAGATGACTCATTAAAGGTGTTGTCATCTGACTTGTGTTGCTCAGGTACACACTCCTGGAGACCGAGGGAGCCCCGGAGGTGCTCGCTGCCATGCAGGTGTTCACACGATGCTTCGTGGAAGCTCTGGAGAGAGAAAACACGCAGGTGAGAGTACTTTGGAAAGGAGCACTTTATTTTCAGTCATTTCAATGGACTGTTTTGCTAATGAAGAAAGCTTCCAAAGGAGTGCCCAGCAGAGGTGAAACCGTCTTAACTGAATGTAAATCGAGATGGTTTCTGTCTGCCCAGCACCCTGGTACCCAGAAACGTCTGTCCGCTGTTGTGTTTGAGAGCCCTATCATGCCAGCGTGTGTCACCAGGAGGTTGCCCCTCCTGATGCTGTGTTGTGTGCTATCTGCTGCGTGGGACACAGCACCTCTGGCTGATCTGACCCTCTCTGTCCAGCAGCAGGCACCCTGGGGCCTATATGGCATGTGCTGAATAGGAAATGCCTCTTATCACAGAGCAGTACTGGACAGTCTTCATCATGAGAGTCTTCACTCCTATCAGAGATCCCATTGTGAACTGGATTTCAGGAGAGAAAAGAGGTGGTGGGAGGGACTGGGAAAGGCTTGAATCACTGTAGAGGAGGAAGGAAGCGTGGCAGTGACCAGGAGGTGTTAGATGCAGTCACGTGAAGTGGAACCTTTGGCCGGGCTTGGTGGCTCAGCTTGTCATCCCGGCACTTTGGGAGGCCAAGACGAGTGGATTGCCTGAGCCCGCGTGTTCGAGACCAGCCCAGGCAACTTGGCGAGATCTCGTCTCTACAATAAAATAAAAAACTAGCCAGGCGTGGTAGCACGTCCCTGTAGTTCCGGCTACTTGGAAGGCTGAAGCGGAAGGATCGCAGGAGCCCAGCAGGTCGAGGCTGCGGTGGCCGGGAGCAGCCACTGCACTCCAGCCCGGGTGACAGAGTGAGACTCCAACACAGGAAAAAAAAAGAAATGGAACCTTTGCTATCATTGGCCCTCACCTTTGGGTATTTTTGCTAGCTTTGATTTGAGGCCCACAAACTTAATGCTTATGTGGTGCCTGGCACATTCAGAGTGGCACTGTGGCCCCACGTCATCCCGTGGAGTGTGTCGTGGTCCCTTATTTATTTATTTATTTATTTTTGAGTTGGAGTCTCACTCTGTCGCCCAGACTGGAGCGCAGTGGCCGCTCCCGGCCACCTCAGCCTCGACCTGCTGGGCTCCGGCGATCCTTCCGCCTCAGCCTTCCGAGCAGCCGGAACCACAGGCACACGCTACCACGCCCGGCTGATTTTTTGATTTATTGTAGAGATGAGGTCTCGCCAAGTTGCCCAGGCGGATCTCGAACCCGCGGGCTCAGGCAATCCACTCACCTCAGCCTCCCAAAGGTGTGGGATGACAGGCTGAGCCACCGAGCCCAGCTTTGTGGTCCCTTATGATGCTCTACAGTTACCTTGTGAGAGCAGAGCTGTGGTGCTGGACTGCACTAAAGCCCTACACACCTCTTGCCAAGGAAGCCCCTCGGGTTTTAGCAGATGTTTCTACTTTGAAGGCGACAAGAAATATGTATGATGGCTTTTGTTTCCCATCCTCACTTTCCCAGGGGAAGTTAGCTAGACTGTGGCCAACAATGTAATCACTGGTACCAGCCTGGAATTGGGAGGAGACCTCAGCTGAAAGGCACTGGCTGCCCCTCATGATTATTTTGAGGCTTAGCTATAAATATCTTTCATCCTCCCTTGTACATTCTTTGTATTCCCAACTAGGAGCGAACCTCCGGCAAGCCCTTGGACTCTGGCGCAGACCTCAGGGAAGCAGCTCTGCTCTGGAGCACCAGCCTCAGGCTGTCTTTCTTCTTAGCTCCCCCTGAGTCTCCCTGTGGGTCTTGGGTACTCCGGATTTAGCCTGGAGTCGCAGTGGCTTTTAACTGAGAATCGTACCCTGACCAGGCGCCCTGTATCTGGGGGCCACACGCAAGGTCCTGTGGGGGAGGCAAGGCAGGGTCCAAAAAGAAACAGGATTCATTGCCCTCACCGTTGACTCGGCACAGGAGAGCTGCGGCCTCTCAGCTTTGCGGATGCCTTCTCATGTCTCATGACTGTTAGTTTAGTTTGCTCCTCTTCCTGGAGCTGTTCTTGAGGCCTGCCCTGTTAACTGACGGCTTTTTTCCCCTGCTGACCTCCTGCTTTCTTGGGGGCCCATTTTTAGCTAATCATAATCCTTCACGCTTGGCATCTTGTCACATTTGGTCAATACATGACCCACTTTTCTTTCTCTGTTTCATTCACTCATTTACTCTTAATAAAACAAGTATCGATGAACCCAACACACCTGGACCCTCGTGATAAGGGCATCCACCCATCCACATGCCTCTCTCTCCTATCCCTGCCCTTCTCCCCTTGGATAACCACTGGCTTGAATTTTGTTCATTTCTTCGCTTTTTTTGAAAACAGTTTGATCGTGTATATATGATTGCCTAAGCTACATGTTTTGTTTTGTTTTGGTTGTTTTTGTGCTTTATAGAAAAACAAGAATAGCATGCTGTACTGATCTTTTGAGACTTGCTTTTCCCACTCAGCACTGTGCAGAGGTTCCTGTGTGTTGCTGGGTGTGGCTGTGGTGGTAGTGGTATGGTAGTCCATTGTGAAAACATACCACAGTGTACAGCATATCCACTTTTCTCTTGGTGGGCATTTGGAGCATTTCCAGATTTGTTTTCTATTACAAACAGTGTTGCTGTGGTATTGTGGAATAGGCACTTGGAGGTAGTGTTTGCTTATTAGGTGTGCAGAGGTGCAGCTTTAGTAGCTCTGTCAAGTTGGTTTCGACAGTGTTAGTGCCCATCTACACTCCCACCATCAGCGGAGAGGCGATCCCGGTGATCCACATTCTTCCTGTGGCCAGAAATGCTTCCCTTCCGGGCATCTTGCTCTTGTTGCCCGTTCCTCCTTCTTGTCCTTTTGTCCCATCTAGGGAGCACAGTGTGGCTCCATCAGAGTGCCCCGTCAGACAATAGGAAAAGAATCCAGCTCGGTGTGATAAGCCTCTTTTTCGAAGCTTGTACAGTGGCTCCTACAAACAGCCAGGCAGGTCAGGTTCTGGTTCCAGCAGTGGCAGAGTCTGGTAATAGACTGGACTAAATCTCCCACAGATAAAAGTGACAAGTATGGGGGAAATATTTTTAAATATTGACTTGAAGACACCAGAGCGTGCCCAAAAAAGCAGACAGACCTCGAGGGCCTTCAGCCTTGAGAGGGAAACCGCACGGAACGGCCCTCAGTCCTCTGCTTCTTTCCCGATGGTGCTCACCGAGGCTGGGAGAGGACAGGGGTCAGGGCGGCCAGAACTCAGGCATCGTTTGACCGACTTCAGGTGTCAAAAGACAGAGCTGGGCTGCCAGAGGAACAAAAAAGTGGAGGGGACAAAGTAAGACAATGGCAAGAATTAGACCTAATCCCAAACCTACCAACAGGTACATTAGTTACAAGTTAAATGAAAGTTAACTAAATATTCTAGTAAAAGGCAGAGATGTTGGACTGCATAAAAAACCAAGACCCAGTCGGGCTCGGTGGCTCAGTCCGTCATCCCGCTCCTTTGGGAGGCTGAGGTGAGTGGATTGCCTGAGCCCGCCGGTTCGAGACCCGCCTCGGCAACTTGGCAAGACCTCGTCTCTACAATAAATCAAAAGTCAGCCGGGCGTGGTAGCGCGTGCCTGTAATTCCGGCTACTCGGAAGGCTGAGGCGGAAGGATCACCGGAGCCCAGCAGGTCGAGGCTGCGGTGGCCGGGAGCAGCCACTGCCCTCCAGTCTGGGCGACGGAGTGAGACTCCCACTCAAAAAAAAACCCCAAAAAACAAGAAAAAAACCAAGACCCAACTATATGTTGTTTTTGGTAAACCCATTCTGGTTATGAAGACACAGGTAGATTGAAAGTAGAGGGAAGAAAAGAGACGTGTCATGCAACTAATAAGCATGGAAGAGCTGGTGTGGCTATACTGGCAGCAGATGAAGCCAACTTCAAGAGGATTACCACAGATAACGAGAGACATTTCTTTCCTTCCTGCTTGCCTTCTCTCTCGCCCTCCCCTCTTTCTGGGATGGGATCTTGCTATGATGCCCAGGCTGGTCTCAAACTCCTGGCTCCAAGCAATCCTCCCTCCTCAGCCTACCAAAGTACTGGGATTACAGGCATGAGCTACCACACTTGGCCAAGAGGAACATTTAATAATGACAAAATGGTCAGTTTATCAGGAGAAATACCAATTATAAATGTATATGTGCCTAATAATAGAGTTTTAAAATACATGAAGCAAAAACTGACAGGAGTAAAGGAAGAAATGGACAAAGCCACAGTCTCAGGTAAAATACTAGGAATAAATTTCACAGAAGATGTTTAAGATCACTAATCGCAAACTATCAAACTACTAACTTACCTCATTGCTGAGAGAAACTAGAGCAGACTTAAATATAAATATAAGGAGCAAGAAACCATATTCATGATCTGTTAAGATGTCTGTTCTCCCCAGATTGATCTACTGCTTGGGTGTAATCCCAGCTAAAAATCCCAGCAGACTTTTTTAAAATGGAAATTGACAGGCAAATTCTAAAACGCATATGGAAATGCAGAGGTTCTGCAATAGCCAGAGCAATTTTGAAAAACAAAAGCAAAACAAAATGAGAGAACTCACCCTACCTGATTTCACGACTTAAAGCTTCAGTAATCAAGGCAGTGAGGTACCGACAAAAGACAGAGCTAGACCCATGCACATGCTGCCATTTAATTTTTGACAGAGATGCCAAGGCAGTTTAATGGAGATGGGAAAGTTTGCAACAAATGGTGCTGGAATGCCTAGATGTCCATGAGGAAAAAAATGAGCCTCAACCTTTGCCTCACAAGCACACTCAGATTGATTTGAGATGCATCGTAGGCTTCAACACAAATGTTAAAGCTATAAGGATCCTAGAAGAAAATAGGAGAATATATCTTTTGGCACTGAGGTCATCTAAGATTTCTTAGAAAGGATATGAAAAAAGAAGCAATAGCCATATGGGAAAAATGGAAAAGTTGAACTTTATCAGAATTTAAAACCTCTATTCATTGATAGATGTCATTAAGAACATGAAAAATAAGCCACCAGCTAGGAGAAAGTATTTGTAATATATATAAATTAAAAAATGCTTGTAACATATATGACAGGGGACTTGGGTCCAGAAACCTGAAGATCTCTTATAACATAAAAGAAACCACCCAGTTTTTAGAAAATGAACCAAAGACTTGAATATGCATTTCGGAAAAGATATCTAAGTTGGTGGTAAACACATGAGAATTGCTCAGCCTCATTTGCCGTTAGGAAACCTCACAGGAAAGCAGCATGGAAACAAGCATGCCTGAGGTAGTGTTTCACACTCACTAGAACAGATAAAATTAACAAGATCGAGGACTCCAGATGTCGATGACTGTGTGGAGTGACTAGAGCGCAAGGACGTGGCAGGTGGGCGTGAGATGGGACAGCTACAAGACTGTGTGGCATTACAGGGTTACACAAGCATCCACTCTGGGACCAGTAACTCTACTCACATGGCAGTCCCCCAAGAGAAACAAAGACGTGTCTACAGAAAGACACAGATATAAATGTCAGCTGTGGCTTCATTCATAATAGCCCCAACCTGGAAATGCCCAAGTGCCCGTCAGTACGTACATTCACAGAATGACTGCTCTGAGCAGTAAAAGAGAATGCACTCCTCATGCACAACAATATGCGTGAATCTTTAAAAAACGTATTGAGCCAAAGAAGCCAGACACACAAGAGTACATACACACTCCATGATTCTGTTTACATGAAGTTCAAGGGTAAGGAGCTGATGTGAATTCTTGTCAGAATCGGAACATTGGTTGCCCTGGTGAGGTGGAGGGATTGACTGTTGAGAGTCACAAGGGAATTTTGGGGGTGATAGAAACATTCTGTGTCTCCATGGGGTGATGGTCACATGGATTTGCACACTTACCTGCACTCATCACGTTGTATAGGCAAAGCCCTTGCACTCCATGCTTTCTGGAGCTTACCTCAGTTTGTAAAAAGTACTTCAAAGATCCTGTGCCTTTGGGGCATGGATAGCTATTGCTCTTTGGCCTTGAGTGGGAGCACCATGTTCTCTTATGCTTTTGTTGTGTTAAGATACCATCCTGGAATTCCTAACACCTCATAGCTGTTTTGGCAGCTCTCCCTGGAATGGAAGGTTGATGTGTTTAGTTGGGTTCATGGAAGGTAGAGAACTCTGATGAGGACATGAAGAGCATAACTTTCTTAAGTTCTTAACTTTAAAAAAGTTCATTTTTCACCAGGCTCAGTGGCTCTGTCTGTCATTCCAGCACTTTGGTAGGCTGAGGCGAGTAGATTGCCTGAGCCCACGGGTTTGAGACCAGCCTGGGCAACTTGGTGAGACCTAGGCTCTACAATTAAAAAAAAAAAATTAGCTGGGCGTGGTAGCACGTGCCTGTAGTTCCAGCTACTTGGAAGGCTGAGGCTGAAGGATCGCCTAAGCCCAGCAGGTTGACGCTGGGGTGGCCATGAATGTGCTACTGCAACTCTAGCCTGGGCAACAGAGGGAGACTCCAACTTAAAAAAAAGGGGGGGTTCATTTTTCTAGAAAAATGAAAAGGTTATTAGAAGCATTTTTAAAAAATTAATGTTTAAGGAAAACATTCTGGCCATATTAGTGATGGTGGGTCCTTTTTGGGCAGAGGACTCAAGAGTTTGTGTTTCCCTCACAGCCCTTCTAGCCCTAATGCTCATGCTCTCTGGAACTGTCTGTCTTTATCCTGTTGTAGCTGAAGTTTGCACTCAAGACCTACTTTCCGTACGCTTCTCCATCCCTTGCCATGGTGTTGCTGCAACGCCCCACAGGTAAGTGAAGGCGGACTTCACCGTATCAAGATGCTTTCTGGGAAAGAGCACTGACCTAACCCTTCCCTCCCAGGCCTTCATCTGTAGCATGAAGGAAGCAGACCTGGTTGTTTCTGGGGTCCCTTTATTCCCCCAGGGTGTCACATTCTGTGGGTTTCGATACGAAAATCTGCTGGGCTTCCCTGTGATCCCGTCCTGAAAGAAAAAATGGCCTCTGGCTAGGCCTTGACAGTCTCCAGATAACACAGTCTCTGCTGGTGCCAACCAAGCCCACCCAGTGTCAGGAATAGGCCACAGCTTGGCTGAGTCAGAATAAAACAGTACATTTATTTGTTTTTCATTCTTTCTACTCTGTGCAGCCTTGTTGCAGAAGGAAAGATAAAATGATGGATGAAGTTGAGGAAATGTAGGGGAAATTTCTCAAGGGCTGGATTTTTAAAGAATCCAGTGGAGGACCAGCCCACAGCCCCTTCTGACTTCGGCTGCCGCATTCTGTAGGCCACATCCGGTTGGAGAAGCCATGGCTCCACCCTCCATTCGGCTGGTGTTGATCTGGAAACGTGCTTGTGCTCAGGAAACCTTTCAGAACAGAGAGCAACCATGCTCTTTCCCTCTAAAGCCCAAAATCTGAAGGGAGGGCAACCCTGGCAGGAGCAGACCCTGCCATCCAGGAAGGTGTCTTCTCTGACCATGGAAGAGGAGATAAGGAAAGGGCCAGTGCATTTCCCCTTCATGCCATTTTAGGCCCGCCCTTTTTCTGAGACTTGCGTGAGTAGATTCATTTGTGGAACACAAATGATTTGAAATGATTCACAGTTTCAGAGCACTTTACAAATCTAAATTCCTCTTCCTTTTTCTGGAAGACGTAGGTCCTCACCCAAAGTGACTCACCTGACAGTGGCCTCTCAGATGCTGGAGGTGAGGGTGGTGATGGTCTTGGCGGAATCTCTGGGTGGTGGTTTTGTGAAAACTGTAGGGCTGCAGCAGGAAAACTTCATTGACAAGACAGAAGATTTAAGACTTCCCTCTCTGGGGTGCACCTTACAGCTTAGGGCAGGTCCGCACAACTCAAGTCCGACCACAGGGGAGGTTGAATGAGCTTTGAAAAATGAGCAGGAGTTGTGGGTTAAGTCATGAAGGCCAGGAAGAGAAGATCGTGGTGGTACATGGGCAGGAACTCAGCCTTCGGCCTTCTTGTTGGTGTGACTAGCCTAGATTTATGCCCCAAAATAAACGAGTGACTTCAAGCAGGACACAGGAGCCCCTTGTGCTAGTTCCTAGAGCAGCCGTCTGCATAACCCTTTTGGAAAAAAAAGAATGTATTTTCACAAATTGAAGAAATGTTTCTTCATAGTATAATCTTTCTTCAGAAATTTATTTTGTGCCCATTGTCACTTTGGGTGCCCATTGTGAAGTCCAGGAGGGACAGAAAAGATGGTCACTGACCAGCCTGGCCTATCCAGAAGTTACAAGAAGAGAGCAAGTAAAATAAATATCTAAACAACTAATAAAAAGAAGAAAATGAAAACTACCTTTGAAAGGCTATGAATTAAGGGCTGTGGGAGTTAGAAGGGGGAAGGGTGGGTGTGACCCTTGAGTCTGTAGCCTGTGTGCAGTAAGGTGTCCCTGTCACCTGCATCACCTTCCTGTGTATCTGATTACAGAGTCTGTCACTACATGAAGATCTTTTTCACATGTGGCTTAGAACAGCAGATATGTGCATGCTCGGATGTCTTTAAAACCACAGGATGATTATGAGACACAAAAAACTAACTCAAGGAAAGGCATTTGTTTGCACGATACCCACTTATTTTTTTTTTCTGGACTTTTTTTCATTGTAAACCTGAGATCATATTTTGAACTTAACACAACCCTAGGAAGACAGTGAGACATCCATTTCTAATTCCATGCTGGATGCTTTTTTTAGTCTTCACGTGTTTTGAAATTATACGTTACTAGTAATGGAGAAGGGGCTGGGTAGGTAGAAAAGAGACCTGGAGCATTGCAACGCGGCATTTCTCCGTCTCAGGGTGGGCTGCTTGTGTGTTCTCTACCTGCATCCATGTACCTGAGTTAAGGACCCTTGGGCGTCAGCTCTGTGTAACGCCGATGGATGTTACTTCTCCAGGCCTGAGAGAGGCTGGCTGGGAAGAGCATGAAGGTGATGGTGTGGGCTCCAGGGCCAGACAGATGGGTGTTTCTCTGCAGCTCTTCAGGTCTGAACTGCAGGTCCGACTTCTCTCTGTCCACCCACAGATATCCCCCCGGCACGCTGGCACCAGCCGCTGACACATATTTCTAAACTGCTCAGGGAGATGGTTGAAGACCAGACTCAAGGGTGAGCAAACTCTGACCACTCCTGTACTTCGTACGTGCTTGTCCTGGTGCCTTGCTGTCCCTTTGTGCAGGGTGGCAGACGATGGCGTCACTGGGCAGGGACCATCACCAGGCAGGCAGTGCCACTGCCAAGCGAGAGCAGACGGAGCCTGTGGCTGCATGGTCACTCGAGCCGGTCGATGCATACGCTGGCACGTCTGAGGACCTGCAGAGAAACTGTTCTGCGAGACGTCTGGCTTTAGATTTTGGAGTGTTCAGGCCTAACAGTGAGCGGAAGAGGCCCTAGGAGAAAGCAGCACACGTGCTGGGCAGCCCCGCTTTGCGGGGGAGGCGGCCCTCAGGGTCCTCAGCCTCTTCTCTCTCCCTGGGGAGGGAGACCTGAAATGTCTCCTGCGCGGTGGGGTGGAATGGCAAATGTGGGCTTTCCTTCTCGTTAATGGATATTTCTCTACAATTTGGAAAGCCACTCTAACATAAATGAGTTCCTAACACTGAGGTTTTAGTACCTTGCACAAGCATCGTTTTCCTAAAAGCAGTCATTCAGGCTTTGCTGAGTTCTTTGCAACATAACACTCTGTGGCTTTCTCTTAACTTTCTTGCTTTAGAATGGAAACACTGTTTTGTCCATCATCTATACTAACCTATCTCATTTGTTCCTTTTGCCACTTTTTGCTCTTGAAATTCTACGTGGCCATGGGCGTGCTACGGTACTCCAGCCTGGGCGATGGAGTAAGACTCCAATTCAAAAACAAAGAAAGAAATTCGGTGTATTCTGTGGTCTCACTGCTGAGCCATCAGACCGGGTGATGCTCCTGTATCCGTGAGCACCAGCTGGAGGCCTGGGTGCCAGGTGTTTGCTTCTTCCCTACCTACCATGACTCCCACCAACAGAGAGTAGCCAAAAAGGAGCTGGCTGCCACGTGGGGGTCACAGCAGCAGCTGCAGTGACAGCCCGCGGCACCCAGCAGCCCATGCACGCCCTTTCGGGCTGTCTCCGCTGCAGAGCAGGGCTTGGCTCCCACATCCCGTGGGGCTCCTCCCTCCACCTCGACCTTGCCGGGAGGCCCGTGCGAGCAGGCTAGGCGTGCTCTTGGTCCGCTGTGGAGACCGCCTTGCACGCTCAGTTACTGGGACCAAAGGCACAGGACCGGGCCCTTCCTGGAACCCCACCCAGGTCACCGGGAGCAGAGAGATGGGAGCACCACTGGTTGGCGTGTGTGCCTGGGATGGGCCCCGCCGTACTCTGAGACATCCCAGCCCAGCCCACCGCCCTGACCCCTCCTGGGGACAAGGGGTGTAGCTGATCTCCCACCCTTGCCTCCTCTCTGTTGCTCTGCAAACTCCATCGCAGAACATTCGCACACTCGTTCCAGGGAGGGCTCAGACAGGAAGAAAGCGGTAGCCAGGAGGCACGGATGTGCTTGGAGCCCAGGAATTCCACAGCCAGGCAGAGCAACCTGGAGCTGGATCTGACAGAGACACAGTGGAGGAGGCGGGGAGACTCCTGCTCCACCTTCTCTATGGGAGATGCCAAACTGCGGAGCCCAGCCCTGCACAAAACTAGCGGGCCCTCACCTTGGACAGATGCTGCCTTAAAATGAGTGTCGCCACACCCGGTTGCCAGTTTGGCACGAAGATAGCTTCACACGAGCGCGGACTCCCCAGCGCTGATGTCCACATGATGGCGGAAAGGAGATGTTACATGTTTCTGCTGGCCCCCCCCCCATGAAGGGTGGAAGCTGCTGACCTCTGGTCTCCGTCTGGACCCCGGGGGCCCCTCGTTCTTGTTTGGGGCAGCTGCCTCTGTGCTCCTGCCCAGCCGAGCGGCTGTCAGGAGGCAGGGGCAGTCCAGGGTCCCATCCAGCATCGTTCCTGCCAGTCCTGGGCCCGTCTTCCTTCCTTTATGCCCGTCTTCACGAGGGGCCTGGACTTAGATTGACACATCTGAAGACCTCAGACCTCGTGGAGCTTCAGAGAGCCATCCTCTGAGTGTCCTGTGATGGGTTCCGAGTGGCGTTCAGGCATGTCTCTGAGCCTGACTTGTGTTCCTTGCAGGGTGTACTTTAGTAGAGACAGACACTTGAGGCCATTTGCAAACATTAGAGTTGCTTTAAGAACCCAAAAGGAAAAGAGCTCAGGTTGCCGGCAGCCATGTGTTTTGGCTTTGTTCCAGGTCTCATGGAGGTCCCTTCGAGAGCTGGTTTCTGTTTGCTCACTTTGGAGAATGGGCTGACATGGCAGCCGAGCAGCTGCTGAGGCCCGAAGCTGAATCTCCGGAGGACCTGCTGTGGCTCTTGGCCTTCTACTACAGCCCACACGACGGGAGGCAGCAGAGAACAGAGACCATGGTGGGTAGCAGGCCCTGCTGTGTGTTTTCAGGGCAGGCCCTTGGGGCGCAGAGAGGGCTCTGTAGGGAGGGGCTGTATCATGGGTTTGGTTTTCATGGGCTCCCCCCTGCATCCAGGCTCTGCCTGCTCACAGCACATGTGACGGTGGCATGTAGATGTCCACTTGCACGATGGTGGACAGGGCTGGGCTTGTGGTCAGATGTTCTCCTGCCTCCACAGAACGGGCTGGGACAAGACACTATCGCCCTGTTCTCCAGGGAAGGCTGAGGAGACAAGGCCTCGCCCTCCGTCCTCCAGGTCCTTTGGTCTGGTCTTGCTCAGCTGCCATGCCGGCCCTGAGATCTTGCCCTTAGGGGAAGCTGCGAAGAGGCTACACCCCTCCAAGGAGTGGGTCCCACAGGGGGTCTGGCTGCAGCCCAGTCTTCTCTCTCCCCAGCAGCCGGGCCTGGTCGGCTTCCGCCTTGACTTCCTGCTTTCTGGGTTCAGTCAGCAGGTCCTCACATTGCTGGCTTTGTGGTCTAACTCTTACTAATCACATGATATTGACCACTTTGCTTCTGAAAAAGGACTTGGTCATTTCCTAAATAACAACAGTTAAGTATAGGACTGGATAACTGTCTGTGGCAAAGACAGTTGTTTTATGTGGAATATCATAATTACAGGAAGCAGTGCTCTGATTAAAGGCATTGGCACCTCCCTTGCAAACATTTATTTGCTGGGTTTTAAAACTTCAACTGCCGGTACTCTTTGCTGATTTTAATAATTAAAGGGAACAGGTTTCATTATGACTGCAACAATGCCCCTATTTGTTTTAGATTTTCTGTTGCTTGAAAAAGCAGAGACTAGCACAGATGTCTGCCTACTTTATTTGCTTAAAGGCTTGCGTGGCAGGGGAAAGAAGAAGTTTTGGGTTTTAAAGTTGAAATTTGGTGATAATTTATTTTAGGTCAAAAATAAAGCGTTGTAAAGAAGTCATCATAGTCCGCATATGTATTTGAGGGTTGCTGTCTGGTTACAAAGCCTTCTGTTTATTCCCGTTTAAAATGTCACATTAGACTAATGAAGGAAAATCCCAGTCTACGTTTCTCGTCATCTCCTTTTTAACCAGAGTGGGATGTAGGAAGCAGTCGGGGCTTCTGAAGCCCTTTTATGCGCACTTCATGTTTGATTCCACGTAAGCCAAGTTGGTAGATACGTGTGAAATTCCCTATCAGTCGTGGATACTGACGAAGAGGGATTCACCGTTGAAGTATGATGAAATAAAAAATTACCCAGTAAGATTCAACTTCTAGAAAGTTCGGCATTGGCACATCTCTCTACTAGCTAACTTGGCCGTTTCTTCTTAAAGTTCTTAGGGTGTGCTCAGGCCTCTTAGACAAAAATGGGTTAGCTTGTTCAGAGTCGTGGAGTGCCATATGTCCATTTCCTTCTTCTGTTCTGTTGGAAGCAGCCATCTGCCTTGTGAGGGAACCCAGTGCTCATGCCATGATTCCAGAGCGCCTTCCTCCTCAGTGCCTGGCCTGAGGCATTGGTCTGTGTCTCATCCCAGGAAGGGCGTTTCCAGTCTAAGGAATACTACGTGTCTCTTGTTCTCCTGGGTTTTGTGAGCTTTAATCCCTTGATGGTCTGTTGGGTGACTTGAGAAACAAGTTACGAACTGTGTTAGGAAGCGAGATTGTTGTGAGATTTGTTGAGCATGATGATATCTGTGCCTTTGCCTTCTTTAGAAGAAATACTTACATCGCAGGTAATCGCCCGATCCCGGCTTGTGTGCTGGGGCTGGAACAGTCGGCTGCTCTTGAGGTGCAAGAACATGGTCACGGAGAGCAAGCCTGTCCTTGCCTGGAATGTGTCCTGCCGTGCAAAGACCTGCCTTCTGTGCAGCAACCACACTCTCTGCCAGCCAGTGTTCGCTCCTTTTGCTAACTGAACCAGATCACAATGAAAAACCCCTCCAAAATCTAGGTTTATATACTCCAAGAGTCAGGCAAGGGTTCATACCCTTTAAACCTGTCATTCCACTTCTAGGAATTATATTTGGGAAATAACTAGAGATCTCTACCAAGACTTATGTGCAAGAATATTCATCACAGCATTGTTTATAATTGAAAAATTTGGAAATGGCCTAAACTTTCAATATTAAGACTATTGACTAAATAAATGGTGGTATATCCTAAACATGGACTAGCATTCTACCATGAAAAATCATGTTCTTGAAGAACATGTCCTACAGATATGGTAGATTGCTTATATACCTTATGAAGAGAAAAACATAAGAGACAAAGCATTTTGTGTAGTAAGTAGTGTGTTCTCAATGCATAGAAACAAGACAAGAAGGATATAAACCTAGCTATTAAAAATGAGTCTCGGCTGGGTTCGGTGGCTCAGCCTGTAATCCCAGCACTTTGGGAGGCTGAGGTGAGTGAATTGCCTGAGCCTGTGGGTTCGAGACCCACCTGGGCAACTTGACGAGACCTTGTCTCTACAATAAATCAAAAACTAGCCGGGCGTGGTAGCGCGCACCTGTAGTTCAGCTACTTGGAAGGCTGAGGCGGAAGGATCGCTGGGGCCCAGCAGGTCGAGGCTGCGGTGGCTGGGAGCGGCCACTGCACTCTAGCCTGGGTGACAGAGTGAGACTCCAATTAAAAAAAAAATGAGTCTCTTTGGATGGTGGAGTTATAAATCATTTTAATTTTTTTCATCTCCTTTCCAATTTTCCCTAGTATACATATATAAATTTTTATAATACAGGATTTAAAATAAAAGTCAGGAGGCTGAGGTGAGAGAATTGCTTGAGCCCAGGAGTTTGAGACCAGCCTGGGCAACAAATCTTAAGCCCTCTCTCTACCAAAAAAAAAAAAAAAAAATTTAATTAGCTGGGCATAGTGATATGCGCCTGAAGTTCCAGCTACTCAGGAGTTTGGGGCTGCAGTGAGATGTGATTGCACCACTGCCCTCCAGCCTGGGTGACAGAGCAGGACCTCATCTCTAAGCAAATAAAAACTGCTTTTTTTTTTTTTTAAGAAAATAAAGCTTATATATTTTTCCTAAAAGACTTGGAGAGTATTTAAAGTTACTGGCATTCAAGGGCCTGGTAGTTACATAGAAGGCATTTGAGGGGAAAGACAAAACAGACCCAGGTGGGACAAAACAGAAAGGAAGGAGATCTGTCTTAGGGAATTTTGGACAAGGGCAGAAAATCAAACGCCAGCCAAGAAGAAAATGGATGTAAAGGCATCGCCTCCTAAGCCCTGGCCTTTTTGCAGACCTGTTCAGATGGCAGCAGCACGGTCTTGGGCTCCTGTAGATGCCATCAGGCCAGGGTAGGCTGGGCCCAGCTAAGGCTGAGGCGTGAGACATGGCCTGTCCTGTTGGAACTTGGCCACTCCCTGTGGAAGAGCCCCATGGTGCAGTTTCTCACGGTCTTAGATTGTGGTCAGAAGCACTCACACAACACGCCTAGTGTGCTAGCATTTATGACAGGCTTCATTGAACGAGGCCTTAACATCCAGGGGAAAAAAGCGACCCACACATAGTCCATAAAATCGGTCATGGGAATTCTTAGAACAGGCCAAAGTATTCTTTCAGAGATGATGGGACATAGCTGTTCATGACTTCCATGTGGCATTTGGGATCTACGGCTTTCAGTTCTTGCTTTGTTCCCCAAGTCACAACTTGATATACCCTTCTTGTAGCAAGCAGAAAAGTCTCAGCATGAAATAAACGTTTTTTATGCAAAAACAACCCACAGACTTAAAACAATTACCATTATTATGTGAATGTGGATTCCACAGACTGTTCCAGCATCTAAAACAAAACGTGTGTGTGTGTGTGTGTGTGTGTTTCACCCCCCAAAGTTAGCACAAGGCAAAAGCAAGCCTGCATTCTTAACAGCACTCTGGTACAGCAGAAGGCGGGTGCATGGGCTTTAATTGATTTGTGGCTGCGATAGTGAGGCAAGTCTTCAAGGAGCCTTTTGTTCTTTTTCCCACAATATGAAAATCTGACTACATTCTGTTGGGGACTTTTCTCCATTTCTCTTCATATAAAAAAAGGTCAATTCCTGGCGTGGTGCCCTGGCTGCTTGGTGAGCAGGACGAAAGTCCGTCAAGAGACTTCCATTCCACCCATTTGGATCTGTGTGGGCGGGCTGTAAACCCAGCCGTGCTGCCCTGTCTCTCCTGGGGGCCAGGCCTCTCTCTGGGCTTGCTTCAAAGCAAGTGAATAAATCCCAGAAGCATGTGTGTCCTGACTCTTGCTTCCTCTGTCCTCACTGCCCAGGTGGAGGTAAGGGCAGTGCTGAGCCACCTCCTGACACTGTCTGGAAGCGCCACCGTCTCCGCCCAGGACCTGCAGGCAGCAGCAGGAGAGATCGGGCACGTAGACCCCACTCCCCCTGCACAGCAGCTGGCCAGGCGCCTCCTCCTCAACTTCCTGCTCTGGACTCCCAGGGGCCGCACGGCCGCCCGGGACACCATCGCCCTGGTAAGCCTCCCTCTTTTCCAGCATCCACGTCGCGTCTGTACTCTAGGTGACAGGTGGGTGATCTGCCAAGGGTCCCAGTCTCTGGACAATGTGTGTGCCAGGGTGGCGCTCAACATGGGTGGATGGTCGGGGATGTTGACAGAGCCCAGAGCCCGCCCCTGCAGCACCTTTATGTCATAGAAGACACTCTGTGTCTTCCGTGTCAGGGAAGGAGGTGCTGCCATCTGGGTCACACATGCCAGGGCCTGTAGTAGAAGCTGCTCTCCTGTCTCTTATGTACGGTTCTTCCAGCTACAGTGTCCTGCTCTCCTTCTCCCCATGGGAAGAAGTTGGACTTCATGAGAACAAAATGCTCACAAAGCAACCACAGAGCTGCTCACTGCATCCGTGCCAAGAATTTTTATGTGTTAATTTTTTAAAAACTAGTTAATGACAAAGAAAGCCTTCCTAAAGCCCAGCTGACATAGGGGTAAAGAATGGCCCAAGTCAAAAGTGAGAAGAGTCAGGACACACATGCAACAGTTAATGACAGCTGGTGCTAGGTGCCATCTCCTCAGGGCCCAAAAGTAGGCACTATTAATGACGGCAGTGATTTCTTGGATGTGATGCCAAAGACATAGCCATGAAAGAAAAAAAAGATAAATTGGACTTGATGAAAATTAAAAACTTGTACATCAAAGAATTACGATCAAGAAAGTGAAAAGACAATTCACAGAATAGAAGAAACTATTTGGAAGTAATGTATCTGATAAGGATTTAGTATTTGGGATGTATAAAGACTTCTTATAACGCAGCAATAAAAAGACAGCACAGTTCGAAAATGGGCAAAGCACTTGCATAGACATTTCTCCAAAGAAGATGCACAAATGGTCACTGCACATGAGAAGATTCTCAACGTCACTAGCCATGAAGGGGATACAAATCAAGCCACAGTGAGATTCACTTCACATCGCTTAGGATGGCTGTTATCTAAAAAAGGAGGGGGTGCGGAATAAATGCTGGTGAGGATGGAGAGCATCTGGAACACTCCTCCATTTCCAGCTGGGATGGTAAAGTCGTGCAGCCTCTACGGAAGAGAATGTGGTGGTTCCTCAAACAGTTAAATAGAGCGTTACCACATGACAACTTCACTCTTAGGTATATACGCAAGAGAGTGGATCACAAGGACTGGAACAGATACTTGTACACCCGTGTTTACTCTTGGGCTGTTCACAATAGCCAAAGGTGGAAATAGCCCGAAGTTCACGGGAAACGTGGTCTGTCCACACAAGGGAATAATCTTCAGCCTTAGAGTGGAAGAAGTAAGTTCTGGTACCTGCTGCTACGTGGATGAACCTTGAAGACGTTATGCCAGGGGAAATAAGCCAGACACAAGGACAGATGCTGAACTCCACTTGCAGGAGGCCCCGAGAATAGTCAAACTCGTGGAGGAAGAAGGTCAAGCAGATTCTACCAGGGGCTGAGGAGGAGGGATCGGGCGTTAGTGCTTGGGATGAGGAAAAAGTACAGGAGATGCGTCTTGGTGATGGTTGTACAACACTGTAAACGTACAAAAATGGTCAGGATAACAAATGTTACGTATGTATATTTTACCATAAATTTTTAAAGTGCTCATCTCAAAAAAAAAAGTGAAGACCAACATCCTGGCTCTGAGAGCTTTGTTTTATTTTTATTTTTGCTTTATAAACGTATTCATAAATATATATTCATAAAATATACAACTTGATGAATTTTCACAAACCAAAACTCCCCATGCAGCCATCAACCAAATCAAGAAAGGAATAGTCCCAGCACACAGAGCCCCTCTGGCTCCTTCCAGGGTGGACTTTGTTTGAATGTAAATGCTAACGTGTGGACAGTCCCAGTGACCAGTGGCCTAACCTGCCACGAACCCTGGAAGACCAGGGCCAGTAGGTGGTCTCAGTCCTGGCGGGACGTGCTTCCGTCTTCAGCAGAGACATCCTGGGAAGCCTCCGGGGCGGCCAGTGGAAGAAGACGCGACTGCCGCGTGCTAGGTGCCATCTCCTTGGGGCCCACCCCGCACAGTGAGAACACTTTCCGGATCTACTGTGTACTTTTATAAAACGCATGCCGTGACACCATGGGTGAATCTGGAGGGCCTGATGCAGAGTGAAGTCAGCCAGACACGAAAGACAGATCGTGCAGGGTCTCACTTGGATGTGGAATCTGAAAAAGCCAAACTCATAGAAGCCTGGGAGAAGGGTGACTGCCAGGGACTGAGGGGCAACGGGAGAGGTTGATCACGGGATGCAGCCTTGTGGCTCTAAGATGGAGAGGCGCTGGAGACCTCACGGGCAGCACACTGGCTGTAGGTAACGACGTGCACCGGAAACTGCAGCAAGAGTAGATCCTGAGTGTTCTTGCCCCCCACACACGCGGTGAAGGAAGGGATGGGGTGCGGGTTCGCTTGATGAGGTCATCATTTCACAGTGTGTCTAAAAACATCCCATTGGACACCTTGGGGAGAAAGCAAACTACACCTATGAAAATAAACACCAATAATTTTTTTTAAATGTCCTCCTCACTTCCGAGTCCACTTAGGCAGGAGAGCCCCACAGGGGGGAGCTGAAATATGCCCACAGACCTTGTACCAACCACCTGGATCTCTGCCGGGTGCAGGGTCTAACAGCTGCTTCTCAACCCGTGCCTTAGCCGGGTGGCCAGGTCAGCATCCACAGGGACAAGTGACAGTGTGGACCTTGGTATTACTGGGATGAAAATGGCAGTTCATCTTTGTGGTTGTCCTCTCCCAAACCTGCAGCCAGGTCTAATCATGGGACCCCGGTGGAGGGACATTCAACAGAATGCCTGACCAGTCCTCCGCAAAACAAGGTCATCAAAACAGGGAAAGTCTAAGAAACTGCCCAGCCAAGAGCAGCCTAAGGAGACAGGACAGCTGAATGCAGTGCGGTGTTCTGGCTGGGATCCTAGAAGAAAGACGGACAACAGAGGAAAATAACGGAGGAAATCAGAGTAATGCCTGGACTTCAGTTATTAATGATGTATGGACATTGGTTCATGAACCGAGACAAGTGGACCACACTAATGTAGGATGTTGATAATAGGGAGAACTTGCTGTGGGGTAGACGGGAACCTCTGTGCTATCTTTGCAGTAACTTTGCAAATTGAAAGCGGTTCTGCAATTAACAGAAGAGTCAACAGCAGGCACTTTTGAGTCTGGAGAGTGTTGGCTGTGCTTCTGTTGCCTGACCTCCGACCTGCCCATGGCCACAGCATCTGTGGGCGGAGCCTCAGCCTGCTGCCGGACAAGGATAGTTCCAGCTCGGGCACTTGCTCTCGGCCCCGCGACCACTGCTCCTGTCCTGTCCCCCTACCACTGGAGAGGCTGCCGTGGCCTCGAGGCCTGCTCACAGCTGGGGTCAGCATGGGAGTGTTGGCGGCCCTGCCCACAGTGAGAGGAAGGGACCCAGAGAAAGCGCCTCAGAGACCCCAGGGCTCTGCTTCAGTTACTCCCGCACTTGTCCCTGTTTAGGGGAAACGGGCCACCTTCAGGGCCGGCCACAGAGCAGCACTGTGCGTGAGGGGCTGGTTACGTGCCAAGTTCAAGTTTGCGTCCTGAGCCGGGCAGCCCGCCCTACCACACAGTTCAGTCCAGCCCCGCAGGACGCTGCTGCTCTGAACCCGAGGCTGAGGGTATGTGGAAACCCCAGGGCGTGGCTGTCCATCGTCCTGCGTCAGTTCCGCTGCAGAGAACACAGGCAGACTTGGGAAGCAGCAGATGCCAGTGCTGCTTTCAGACTGGCTTCCTCTGGGGGGTGCAGCCGTTGGATCCCTCGGGCCCATGGGGCGAGAGCGCCTCCTGGGTGCTGTCCTCTCACTGCTTGCGGCTGTCTCTGTGGACACATCAGCCTTCCGGGCAGGCTCTGCCACGGGGGCTGAAGCGGTGGGCGAAGGCAGCCTGCTGAGGCCGCCCCCATGGGACAGGTGGGCGACCCCCCCCCAGCCCCAGCCCCACGCGGCTTCTCCTTGGCCCCTCCCCCAGTTCTGCTGTGCACGCACCCGGGAAAGAGCCCTGGGCCAGTGCTGCTTGGCCTGTGAGCAGGTGGTGGCCAGGTGGGGGGATACCTTCCCTCCAGCAACTTGGGCTTCACCACCCTCCTGACCCAGAGCTGACACAGCCGCCTCCCAGCCGCCGCTGGCTCTGCCCTCTGTCTCGGATCCAACTGTGGGGGCAGTGCCAGCAAAGGCAGGACAACGGGGCATGCAGAGGCAGAAGCCGCCACTGCTTCAGAGCCCTTGTGCCCGCTCCGAGCTGACCCCTTGCAGCATCTGCCCGCCTCAGTGCATGGCTCTGTCTGACCTCAGGACATGCCGGGCCTCCGGCCTTGGCTGCCCACAACCTCTGGGGCGGGCTTTCCCTTGAGCTCTTCCCGGCGGGTCCCCTTCTCTGGGCACTAGCGGTCTGTCCCCAGCTTTCCCGGGACTCGTGCCTGCTGGCCTCGGCTCTCTGTCGCCGTGGAGCTCAGTCCTCGGCGGCCCTGCCAGTCACCCCGGCTCTCCTGCTGCTCGGACTCTGGGGTGGGTGGGCACAGCTGGGCCTCGACGGGGGCAGGTCTGCCCGGAAAGCGTCATCTGCCTCCTCTGCCGCCCTCACTGCAGGTGGCCCACACTGCTGAGATGACCCACGAAGCCATTGGCTTCCTGGACCAGACCTTGTGCAGATGGCAGCGTCTGGGCATCGACGCCCCTGAGGCTGGCCTGGTGGCCAGAGAGCTCCTCCAGGAGCTGCACACATGCATCCAGCGGGGAGCACAGACCACGTGGATGTCCACGTGTGGGTCCGGCTTGCCGAGGCTGGGACAGGGGACAAGGCCTCTTCCTGTGGCCACGAGTCTTGCAGTAAGTGCCCTCCGAACACACGTGGGGAAGGTCGGTGCACATCGTTTGCGGAACGCCGGGCTGGTGCTTTAGCCCCGGCCCAAGCTATTTGCCAATGACAGAGGGTGCCTTTGGCGTCCCTGGGACCTGCAGAACTGTCGAGAGGTGTGGGGAGGAGAAGAGTTTTATTTTCTTGGTTACCTGCATCTAGCCAAGATGCATGCCTGTTACTTGAGTGATTCAAAGCTTCCGGACCAAGAAGTTGGTCACAAACCAGTGAACAATCGAGAGAGTGACATAGCCCTTTCCGTAGATCTTTTTCTAGGGCAGGCAATTGTTACTGGCATCGCTCTGAGTCCACAGGGCCCTCAGACAATGCCACACGGTCTTGTTGCCCTAGAAAGCCCTTCACTCAGCAGAGTCGGGGTCTCCCAGGGGCCCTGTGCAGCCGCGACCAGGCCGAGGTGGGCCGGAGCCCCCAGGCCCCTGGCCTCCTGCTGGCTCCACTCCTGCGAAGCACAGGCTGCTGTCGGAGAGCTGGCAGGACGTCGGAGGCGGCCGCAGGTGAGGGGCCCGATGTGTCGGGACACAAAGGGATCGTCACAGCAATTGTCTTGTTAATCCTGGAGATGCCCAGGGATGCGTTGGCAACTCCAAGGTTGCTATTTCTTTCATGCCAGTTGAGGACATTCTTTTTCTTTGCACATTTATTCTGAGCTTGTGTTGACTCTGCGTCCTTTCGTGCGTGTTCGCTTCGTTGAGTCCAGACTCTTTCAAGTCCGCTCGGACCTGTGTGTGAGTCTCGGCTGTGTCTGAGGTGTGAGTGAAGTTTCGCCGGATTAGAGGCGAACTTCTGGGGGAGCTGTTGGCCTCGGTGTGCAGCTGCGCTAATGGGTCCACCTGAAGATCCGGGAAATTCCAAGAATTTCTTCTGAGAAACGTTGCAGTATGAAGGGTCACTGTTGCAATATTTTGGTCACAGCTGCCATCATCACCACTGCTTTCTTATAAAAACACCTGATCAGACCACGCAGGGTGAAAACAGGCGTTGCTGCTTCACTTGCAGTTGAGGATGTCTGACCTGGAACCCGAGCGGTGGGCCTGCCGTGGAACCTGATGGACCTCTGTGGCCGTGGTGGCAGCGCGTCGCCCTCAAGAGGGACCGGCCCTCCCTGTGGCGGGTGGGATGCCACGGGACAACCCCTGTTGCTGGAACGTGGCTGCGTCTGCCCGGCTCGCTGCTGTGCCCATCTCTCTCCTCACTGTCTTTCAGCGCCAACGGTCAGAACACGACGGTTACCCGATGCCGAGTGTCGAAACGCCCTTTCTCGGAGACGCCCGTCCTGGCCTCGCCGCATCCTGCCTGCAGAGCCTCCCAGTCCCTCGCGAAGCTGCGGGTCCTTCCTGCAGCGGACACTCGCCTCGTCGCTGACCAGGCATCCTGGGCTGCGGGTCGGTGGTCTTCGCCCTGATGGCCCCGACGGCCCCCTCGGCTCCTGGGCCTTGGCGAGCCTGCTTCCGTCGAGGGAGGGGCACGGGTTTGCTTACTGGTCTCGCTGTGCCCTCCGCCCCGACAAAGGTGCCCGCAAAGGGAGGGGCTCTGGGTGGGGACCAAGGCGGGCGGCAGGGCTGAGGCTGCCGCAGGGCTGAGGCCAGCGGCCGTGAGGCCGGGTGCTCGGCCGGCGAGCGCTCCCCGGGGTGTCAGCCCCCCGCCTTCTCATCCACGCTGGTGGGCGCTGCCGGCCCCCGAGGCGGGGAGTCCCGTGGAAGGGAGGGGCGGCACCGTCCCCTGGAAACCCGAGGAGGGCAGATGCCCCT